GGGGGGGGGGATTTTGGGGTGGAAAAAAGGCTTGAATAGGAGGTAGAAACCCAGCCCTGGTGTGGAAACCAGCCCCCTCCGCGCTGGCAGGCGATTATCCGTGCTTAGCAGGTGTAGCGGTGACAATGAGGGGGACACCGGGGCCGGGCAGGCGGCAGGAATGTGATTCACTCAACCAGCGGCGGGGGGGCGGGGGGAGAGGTAGAAATCAGTCGAGATCAAAGCGGCGTCGAGCTGAGAGCTGCCGGGGGTGGGAGCCGCCCTCCTGCCACGGGGTTTGGGCGGACAAGGGCTGGTTCATCGCTGTCACGCTCCCCCCTGACCCCCGTCTTGCTTAGACCGTTGCTTTTCTCTCTCGGAGGTGCATCGACCAGAAATTCAAGCGGTGCCCCCCCCTGCCCACCACCAGCGTCGTCATCGTCTTCCATAACGAAGCGTGGTCGACGCTGCTGCGGACGGTGTACAGCGTCCTGCACGCCTCGCCCGCCCTCCTGCTCAAGGAGATCATCCTGGTGGACGACGCCAGCACGGACGGTGGGTGGGGGCCGCGCCGGGACGCGGGGGGATGCCAAACGTCTTTGCACCCCCCGGAGCAGCAGCTCGGGGACGCTGAGAGGAGAAGCTGCTCATGCTGGGTCTCCGAGCAGCCCGGGATGCATCCAACAGCTCTTCCACGTTGTTTTGCATCTGCCCGGCAGCTCCGTCGGGGTTTTTCCCTGCCTGGCACCACTGTTAACCCAGCCCTGAGAGAAAAGCCAGGCGCTCCTCCCGCACCCTGCGAACACCTCGTCCGCCCGCCGGCTTGCCCGCCAGGCTGCAATCCTCATTAGCTACACCTAGAGCAAATTAATGATGTGGTTCAGTGTCAGGGCGCTGGGGAGGAGCGGACTTTACCCTCGCCCCAGAGATAAATGCTCCCTTTCTGCCCACAGTCTGCACGGGCTCCCCAGGAGCAGAAACCTCAGGGCGGTGCAGGGCTCCATCGCCCGGGAGCTCCCGCTGCAGCGGGGACGCGGGTCAGGCTCTGGGTCCCTGCCCGGGGCAGGTCTCCAGACATGTCAGCTCTCACTTGGCCGTTTGCAGCTTTTGGCTTGGCTGCATCTGCCAGGGAAGGAGAGAAATCCCAATTTCCTTCAGCGACACCCTGCCCGCTGTCCCTTCCTTCAGCGACAGTTGTCCGCTCGGTCCCGGAGGCACTTCAGCTGCTGGGCACGAGCCCTTCTCACCCCGTCGTTCCCCTAGTCCCTCTCCAGTGGGGGATTAGGCAGGGCAGGTGCCCAGCTCCTTCGCAAAACTCACTTGCTTTAGCCAAAAATCACTCTTGGATTTGGGGGCAAGGAGGCTCTGTGTGTCCCCAGATCTGAACCCCGGTGCAGGGTCTGAGCAGCTGCTCCTGTGAGGGGCAGGAACCTGCATCTACCTGCCTCCCACCCAGCCGGTTGCTCTTTCCCCCCCCCCAGACTACCTGAAGGACAAGCTGGATCGCTACGTGGAGCAGCTCCAGATCGTGCGAGTCGTGCGGCAGGAGGAGCGCAAAGGGCTGATCACGGCGCGGCTGCTGGGGGCCAGCGTGGCCAGTGGGGAGGTCCTGACCTTCCTGGACGCTCACTGTGAGTACCCGCCACCTCCGGGGGGGCCTCAGGGGCCTGGCGGGAAGGGAAGTTGTCTCCACTCAATGGCCAACCCTTCCCCGTGCCCCAGGCGAGTGTTTCCACGGCTGGCTGGAGCCCCTCTTATCCCGCATCGCCGAAGAGCCCACGGCCGTGGTCAGCCCCGACATCGCCACCATCGATCTCAACACCTTTGAGTTCTCCAAGCCCGTCCAGAATGGCAAACAGCACAGCCGGGGCAACTTCGACTGGAGCCTGACATTCGGCTGGGAGGTTGTTCCGCCCCGGGAGAGGCAGCGAAGGAAGGATGAGACCTTCCCCATCAAGTAAGCCATCGCAAGGGGGGATTTTTATCCCCTTCGGAGTTGGGGTGATGGTGGCAAAGGTAGGACGAGCCCTGGGAACGCTGTGTCCGGACCCAGCTGAGCGTGTGTGGCTGCTGCGGGGAGCTTAGGGAGGGACAGCCAGGGCTGACAAAGAGCTGGGTACCCTGCGCCCCTTCCTCCAGCTGTTTCTGCTCCTTTTTGCAACAAATTGGTGCTTTCCCTGTCGGTTTTGGTGCCTCCAGGCAGGTGATGCTGTCCCTTCCCCTGTGGAATGCTGGGCTTGAGGGGTGTCAGGTGCTTTGTGCCCAGGGGAGGATGCCCAGGCACAGTCAGGGCCGTGGGGCTGGCAGAGGAGAAACCTGCCCTGGGGTCTGGCTAATTGTGGAACCATAAAGGACCTTTTGCAAAACCACCTTTCAGCTGCCTCCAGCCACCTCTCCACTCCTGCCAAGTCTCTTGTTAAGGGTTTAATCACTGTCTTGTATCTTCTTGCTCTTGGATACTCAGCCACCTGGGCACAGGGTGGGCACCTGCGCTGGCACCGCAGCAAGGATACGTTACCTGCAGATCAGACTGCACCAAAACCCCTATTTTTATCCCTTTATTTTGAATGCAGAAAACCCCTGAACTGTTCTTCCCACTGCACCTCTCCATCCGTGCCCCACGATAAGCCGGGTGCTCCCTCTGGGAGATACCGGACACCCTGGCTGGCCCCGTCGCGTCCATCCCCCGGCCGGCGGCAGGGCTGCCTTTGTGCACGGGTCACCCGGGAGACGTCCCTGTCCCAATAAAGGTCCCTTTTACCACAGGCCGGTGCTTTGGCTCCCGGCAGCGTCTCATCTCCGCTTGGCAGGAACGCAGCAGCTCAGTGAATCCTTTTTTTTTTTTCTATTTTTCCTGAATAAAAGCAAGTTTCTGTTCCAGCCTCTTCTAAAGATCAGATGGAAAAGATTAGAGAAGCCGGAGGAGTGAATGGGGCGCTGGCCATGGAGCTCTAATCTTCCCCCTTCTTTTCGGCGATAGGTTTTTGGTAACAATATCCCCCTCTCGCTCTAGGTCGAGAGCTGGCGGCGGGGCCCCTCGGTGTCACGCTGCCACTGCTGCCTCTGTCCCCTCCTGGCAGCCGGGTCCGGCCCCCCTGCCAGAGCCGCCACATCTGGGGCACAGCTGGTTGGGGCAGGAAGATGTGGGGACACGACTGCGAAGTGCTCACACCCACCGTGAGGGCCACGATGTCCCCAGAACTCAGACTTCTTCCTTCCTATTTTTATTTTAACCCTATTTGACCCCCCTTCTCCCTCCCCCGTAGGTCCCCAACCTTTGCCGGTGGCCTCTTCGCCATCTCCCGGTCCTACTTTGAGCACATTGGCTCCTATGATGATCAGATGGAGATCTGGGGGGGCGAGAACGTGGAGATGTCCTTCAGGGTAAGGATGGGTCGGTGCCATCTTCAAAGGGCATCTTCAGGGATGCTCCTTGCTGGGGTATGGGGGGGGGGTTGGACCCCCCACGTCTCAGCCGTTGCTTCCCCGTAGGTCTGGCAATGTGGGGGTCAAGTCGAGATCATCCCTTGCTCTGTCGTGGGTCACGTCTTCCGCTCCAAGAGCCCCCACACCTTCCCCAAGGGCACCCAGGTCATCTCCAGGAACCTGGTTCGCCTGGCCGAGGTCTGGATGGACGACTACAAGGAGATCTTCTACAGGAGGAACCAGCAAGCAGCACAGATGGCCAGAGAGGTACTGGCCACACCGCCGGGCTTCTAGTTCTTCCGGGGGGGCTAATCCTGCTGGGAGCTCAGGCCTGAGCAGAGGGAGGAGGTGGGCTCGGTCTGGAGGTGGGAAAGCAAATGCAGGTGGAAAAATGTAGCCAAAAAGCTTTTTTTTTTCCTATCTGGCCATCATGTTTTCTAGTCAAAAAACACTGATTTTAAAAAAAAATAAGTTTTTTTCTTTACAACACCAAAACGTGGTGCTGTTAAAATGTCCCCTCCCTCTCCGTGAGCGGCCAGAGCCTGAGGGTACCTACCAGATCCCAGGGACGTCTTGCAAGACCCCAGCACTGGTCTCAGTCCTGGGCACGGGGTGACGGACGGTGACAAAGCCAGGCGGACCCCTCAGCTCTGAGCCCTGGCTTCAGGAGGGATTTCTTGTTTTTTCCTTGCTGGCTTCAGAGGTTAGTTTAATTTTCTCACGTGACTTTGTCGATAGAAGACGTATGGTGACATTACAGACCGGCACAAGCTGAGGGAGCAGCTCCACTGCAAGAACTTCACCTGGTACCTCCAGACCGTCTACCCGGAGATGTTTGTCCCTGACCTGACTCCAACTTTTTATGGAGCAGTAAGTACAGGGGTGCCCAGAGCATCCCGCTGGGCTCAGTCCTTGGCTAGAAATAGCCATGGCAGGGAAGTCCCCGAAAGGTTGGGTTTGGGGGCTTTGTATTTAAACCAGCGTGCTGGAGGGTTTTGGTGCAGCCGCCGTGTCTGTCCCTGTGTCCGTCACCAGCTGGCTGGGCCCTGGCAGGGCTGGTTTGGGCTCTGGCTGACAGTGAAAGATCTGGAATCCGGCAGAGCTGGTTTGGGGCGAGTTACGGGGTGGGGGACCGGTGGGGAGGTGGCATTGAGTTAAATTGGGTGAAAGATCTGAAAACTTCCAGCAGCACCGTGCAGGTGTTGGCAGGCACAGGGTGGACTTGAAAAACCGAGCTGGGGCCGGGCAGGATGTGGAGCGACGGCTCCATCCCTGAGGATGGAGCTGCCAAAAAAAATCCCTCCGAGCCGGGTGCTGGGGTCTGAGTCGGACCTTCCTCAGCCGGGGCGATGTGAAAGCAGCCGGCAGACGCAGTGACGTCCAGGGCGAGGGCCGGGCGCTGCCTCCCATCCGGGTTTTAATTCACCTTTGTTTCCTGAAACCTCATCCCGGGCGGCTCTCACCTTTGACTCGGTGGGACGGAGGCGTTGGCGCGGGCGTTCCTCACGTCCTGGAAAGGTCAGGGGACCCGGACACGGCGCCTGGTGCTGGGACCGTGTTTGTACAGCGATAATTAAGTGCCCTGCGAAGCCCAAACCCAGGGTGGGTCCCTACCCCGGGATCTCGGAGCCCAGCTCACACCCCTGGCCCCCTTTCTCCCCCTCCTCTCTCTCCTCCAGATAAAAAACGAGGGCACCAAGAGCTGCTTGGACGTCGGTGAGAACAACCATGGTGGGAAACCTCTCATCATGTACCCCTGCCATGGGATGGGGGGCAACCAGGTGGGCACCCATCAACCCCCCGCATTTCCCCCTCCTGCAACCCCCCTGGTTTTCCCCTGAGGGTCACTCTCTCAGGGCGCAGCCCTGCAACATCCCCTCTCTGGTCTTGCCCTCCTCAGTATTTTGAGTACACGAGCCAGCGGGAGCTGCGGCACAACATCGGGAAGGAGCTCTGCCTGCGGGCGGGCTCGGGCTCGGCCGAGCTGGGTGACTGCCAGTACCGAGGGAAGCCCGGCCGGGTGCCAGCCAGCGAGGAGTGGGACCTGGTGCAGGTGAGGAGCTCAGCTCCGCCCCGGAGTCACCCAGGGGGCTGCTGGCATCATCCCCCGCCATGACGATGCTTCTCTGCCGCTTCCCCTCAGTCACATCCTTTCTTCATCCCACCAGCATTGCTGAGCTGATGCCACCTTTATTTTTCGGCAGGACCGGCTGATTAAAAACCCGGCGTCCGGTACGTGCCTGACAGCCCGAGGGAAGCACCCGGCGATGGTTCCCTGCGACCCGGCGGACCCCCACCAGCTCTGGTCCTTCACCTAGGCCAGCAGCAGAGCGGCCTGAGCCCCCGGCCGTCCCTAACCATGCTCAGGAAACCAGAATCCAAAAAAACTTCCTGTTTTTTCCTTTAATTTAAGAAGCAAAAGCCTTAAATATGCTGCATTTCACAGTTGCCTTGAACTCAGTCCTGTGCCTTTGGAGTGGGGAAGCCCAGGGAGCCGAGCTCAGCCGGCGATGCCCCACGGAGCCCGAGACGTGGCAGTCGTGGAGATGCCCAAGGTTGTGGAGATGCCCGAGGACGCTCCTCGGTCCCTGGCTGCTGCTCGTCCTCCTCCCTCACAGCTCCAGCCACAGACTCTAAAATCCATGTCAGGCATTTGGAAACGCAGCCGTGCCAGTGAGGAGGAGGAGGAGGATGGTGACTGGCCGTGCGGTTCATCCCGTGGGGGGGCAGATCGTGGTTTGTCGTGGCCCGTGTGGGTGAGGGAACCCCCCCAGTACTGCCAGCGGGGTGCCAGGATTCGTCCCTCACCTGCCGCGGCACTGCAGACATCGTGCGTCGCTGCTGCCAGGCTGGGAGAAGTCGGACTGTCTGCCTTAGATGCCAGGCTTCATTTGGGAAGGGGAAGTTAGATTTTTTTTTTTTTTTATCATTATTATATGATGATGATTCCTGGGTGTGATTCTGCTCATCCTCGTTCTGATCTGGAGGAGGGATTTTCCGTGCATGGCCCAGCTCGAACACACCACAGCATCCTCCCAGAGAGGCTCTTGCCAGCGCCCGGGCACGAGATCTCCTCCCTCCCCTGGTTTTCTTCAAGCCCAACTACTGTAGCTGCTGCTTCCATTGCCATTTCATTTACGGGGGGGGCAGAACCCTCCTGGAAGTGGCGTGGGAGTGGGAGAACCTGTCTTTGGATACACAACCTCAAATAAAGAGATGATTTATTTTACAGACATTCCGTCTCTGGCTTCCTCTGAGCTCCCACCCCTCCATACTGGAAACTCCCATTTGCACCCTAAATATGACACCTCACAGCCATAAAGTCATATTTGGGGTGGTTCAAATTTGGGTTGGGTTGTCCTTGTGCTGGGGCGGAGGCTTCGCTGCCGTCCCTCACTGTGTTACCTTCTGTGCTGATAAAACAAATAAGTGACTATTTGGAGACCATTTTCCCCATGAAATCTCATGTTTTCCTTAGAGATAAGAGCAGAAGTGCAGCAGGTGCTTTTTTTTTTATTTCTTTCCATATTATTTTTTGACTGGGTGAACCAATAATCATCGCTCTCACCGATGCTATTTTCCAGCAACTGCTCCATCAGTGGAATGAAAAACTTGATGCTGCAAGTTCACCCCAAAGAACGGCCTCAATTTCTTTTTAGAGGGGGAAAAAATATAAAACTGTTTTGGCCAGAAATCAGGCTTTTATTACAAACCATGTCGGTGTCTCATTTAACCTCCAACTAATGCCCTGTGGAAGTTGTGTCCCTGCCCCAGTGCTGGCTGTCCTGAGTGGAACTTTTTTGGAGGGGGTGAAGGTCTTGCCCTGTGTTTGCCTCTATTTCCCTGTCCCAGGGGCGATGTGGGCACAGCTCATGCGTCAGACAAAACTCTTGGAGGCATCCCATAACTAAACATGATGTGAGAGGCACAGCTGGGGCATCCACAGGGCTCAGGACCAGGAAAAACTCATGACAGCGTTGCCTGAGATGCGCAGAGGAGGAAGACTCAGGAGCAGGACATCGTCTCCCTGGGGACTTGGGCTGCCTGTCCAGAGCCAAGGGAATTTTGGGGTGCGCCCAGGGTTTTTTTGGCCCTGACCTTTGGGGACTTGTGTGTTTTGGAAGAGGGACCAAGGCTGCTCGATAGGGCCGTGTCACCTGGTTTTCTTCCCGTCACTCCCTCTCCATCCCCTTTAAAGCCGGCGGCAGCGCAGCCCTCACCACAGTTGAAGCGCTGCTGTGCTCCAGGATGATGCTGCAGCTCGTGCTCCTCGCGGCCCTCGCCCTCTGCGGTGCGTCTCCGCGGGAAGCCACCGGCCTCGTCAGCTGGTGACAACCCGCCGGTTGTGATTGACCCCCCCCGCACCCTCTCTCCCGCAGGACGCTGCTCCGAGCAGGACCTCGATGGGGTGCAGCGGGTGGTCGGCGGGACCGAGGCACGCTCACACGCTTGGCCTTCCCAGGTGGGTCCTTCCCACGGTCAGACGGCAAATCCCGTGAGGGTCTCAGCCCCCTGGGACCCTGCGGGGAGCTCCCCCCGCCCCATGTCTCATATCTGCCCCTCCCCAGATCTCCCTCCAGTATTACTCTGGCGGCAGCTGGCACCACACCTGCGGAGGGTCCCTCATCCAGAGGAACTGGGTGATGACCGCAGCCCATTGCGTGGATCGGTGAGTGGGAGCAGGGACCCCACCTTCCTCTTCTGGAAAAGCCATTTTCCACCAAAAACCTTTCCAAAGAGGAATTGTGGCTGCCCCAACCCAGAGAGCAACGGTTGTTTAAGGTCCTTGCTGGTCCTCCGTTAAGGGGTTACCTGGACCATCTTCTCACGCTGAATCTTTCTGTATCAACTCACTCTTGGAATAATCACAATTCATGGCCTAATCCTCTGTTTTTTCACCTTCCTGGCAGTAACATGAACTTCCGTGTTGTGGCTGGCGAGCACAACCTCAACAGGAACGACGGCAGCGAGCAGGTCTTCAGCGTGAGCAAGATCATCATCAATCCCTACTGGAACAGCAACAACGCTGCTGCGGGGTAACGCACGTGGGGAGGGGGATCTGGGGGGAGCATCGTCGGGAATGGGGGGGTCCTTGCAACATCTTCTCCCTTCTCTTGCCAGCTACGACATCGCCCTGCTCCGCCTGAGCAGCTACGCCACCTTGAACAGTTACGTGCAGCTGGCAGTCCTGCCCCAGGAGGGATCCATCCTGCCCAACGACTACCCCTGCTACATCACAGGCTGGGGGCTCACCCGCAGTGAGTGCCGGCGGGTCGCCCCCGCCCTAAATCACCCAAAAAATGTGGGAAACGTGGGGAGCTGAATGATATTTTTAAGCCCTTTGAGGTCCCAGGAGGCATTGCACAGGGCATCGCTCTGGGCATGGAGATGCCCGACATGGGGTTGGTCTGGGGGGGCCCTGGGTGGTGGTGGGGTGTTTCTGGCCGAGGGTCTCACGGGTCTTTGCCCACACGGCATTAACCGGCACTCGGTTGCCTACAGCCAACGGGCAGCTCTCCAGCGTCTTGCTGCAGGCGTACCTGCCCGTGGTGGACTACCAGATCTGCTCCAGCCCCTCTTACTGGGGCTCCACCGTCAAGCCCACCATGGTCTGTGCTGGCGGGGACGGCGTTCGCTCTGGCTGCCAGGTACGGCCCCGGCAGCCCCCTTTCCCCCAGCGTCCCGGCGGCGACCCCGTTGCCCCGGTCTCACGCGGGTTCCCCGGTCTGGCAGGGTGATTCGGGCGGTCCCCTCCACTGCGCGGTGAACGGGCAGTACCAGGTCCACGGCGTCACCAGCTTCGTCTCCAGCCTGGGCTGCAATGTTGCTCGCAAACCCACCGTCTTCACCCGCGTCTCTGCCTACATCTCCTGGATAAACAACGTAAGGCGACGGCAGGGCTTGGGCGGGCTGAGACCTGGCACTGCTGTTGCACCGATGTACCAGCTCTATCCCGGCTCGGCTCAACCGTTGCCTTTCTTCTCTTCCAGGTGATAGCCCAGAACTGAGCTCTGGCAGCAGGCGAGCCCAGTCCCCAGCTCGGGTGATGGACGTCACCTTCCCACATGTTTTGGTCGGAGGGGTTTAAAACCCGTAGCTGGTGTCAATAAAAACTGATCCTCTCTGGCACTCTGGTGGATGCTTTCCTTGCAATCCTTTCTCCTCCAACCCTCAGCATCCTTTTCCCCTCCCGTCTTCCAGACCATCCCTTCGTCCGTGTCCCTCCTCTTCCCCGCGCCTTATGCAAGAGCTGCAGGGAACAGCGATCGGCTCTGTGCTTCCAAGGCAGCCGGAAAGCCCTGGGGAGAATGGAAAAGGGGGAAATGCTGCAAATCAGCTTCATGCCCCTTGGGAACACGGGGGGGGGGAATACAGAAGGATATGGGAGGACACAGTTGGGATTTTTCCCTGTTACTAGCTCCATTTCTCCTCCAAACCCGACCTCCTTTGCAGTGAGAGTTGTCAGATTTGGTGACTGTTACATCCTGGAGTGTCAACAGTGCATGGGGATAAAATACCAGCACCAAAATTGCACCAAACCCCGAATTCAAACCCCAAACCCGACGCTCGTGGAAGAATTAAGAGGCGGGTGTTGGTTCCCCGTCACCCCTTTGGCCCACCCATGTCGCTGGGTGCTCGGGGGAGCCTTTCCGGGGGGGGAGTGTGGCAGGGGGTGCCTGGGTACTCGGCGGATGCCGACAGCTGCCTCGCCTCGAACTTCCTCCGTAGCAAACATCAAACCGCAGTGCGCGGCCGCGAGCAGGAACGAGCTGCAGCCATGGCAGAGGGCAAGAGCGGGGGAGCCGGGCTTTTCGCGAAGCAGGTCCAGAAACGGTTCAGCCGGGCGCAAGAGAAGGTACGGTGCGATGCCCATCCGCAACGCCCAGCCCCAAAATCTCTTATTTCATTTTATTCTTTAATTTCTTTCCTCTGCAGCGGTGAGGGGATAGCACAACGGGCACCGCCTGGCACCCATGGGTGCTCACACGGTGTTAATTTGGGCGTTTCTGGATCAACGTCATTGTTGTTACAAAGCTTTAGGCTTGATGGCATCTCCCTAAGGTCGCCCAAGCTGCCTTGGCAGCCGCTGCGTTCCCTAAAAGTGGGATTTTTCCACCCAAAACGCCTTCCAGAGGTTATGGGGGACTGTGCACTGCTGGCAGGGGGTCCCTCGGGGCTGGCCAGAGGTGACAGTGGCCAGCAGGACCCAGCGTGGGGATGGTCCCAGGAAGGCTGGAGCAGCCCCCACCGGCCACGCAGGAAGCGAGGGGGCAGGGCTCCGGAAGCGGGCAGAAACGGGGCGATTCTCAACTGGTTTGGGGCATCTCTTTCCTTTTTCTCTCCAAAAAAAGCCAGCAGCGACTCCAACACACACCAGACCCACACACTCCCGGGTTTCCTGGCTGGGGCTCAGGGCTAAATTCAGTTCTCCCGTGGCTGTATCAGCCTGGGTCAGGCTCCAGTTGCTTCCCGGGGGGGTCAACCTCTTCCTGGACACTCCAAAGCTCCCTCCCGCATGACCCGGCCTCACCACGCTCCTGTGATCGGGGCTCTGGAAGCAGCCTTTGGCCGCAGACCATCCTCATCCTCAGCACAGTGTCAGCAGTGCCTGGCGAGGCAGCACCCAGGGCTTTGCCGGCACCCGTAGTCACACACAGGGGTGTTTTGGGGTACAAGGGGCTGCACCGATAGGGTTTTGTAGGGTAGGGTGACAGGTTAGTACCCAAAAAGTCACTGTTCTCCTCTAAAAAATAAAAGCACCAAGGGATGAGCCAAGATTTTGCACTCTCCATCTAAATCCCTGCGCGGCGTCAGCTCTGCCAGCTCCTCAGCATCCCCAGAGAGGGGCTTTTGCCGGGGACGACCCCGCTCCCACCGGGAGGTAGAGCCGGGGCAGCGGCGCCAAGCTCGGGGCTGACGACTCTTCCCACGTCTCCATCTCTCTTCATCCCAGGTTTTGCAGAAATTGGGCAAAACGGTGGAAACCAAAGATGAGCAGTTCGAGCAAAGCGCCTACAACTTCCATCTGCAGCAGGTCGCACAGGGGAGCGGGGATGTGGTGGGACAGGGACATGCCTGCACCATCCCTCGGCCCCGCCGCCTCCCGGGGTCCCTCGGTCCCTGCCGGGCTGGTGGAAATCACCACGAGCCCTGGGGGTGGCCCTGAGCTGTCCCCTCCCCGCGTTGCGTTGCAGAATGAAGGCAATAAACTCTACAAAGACCTCAAGGCTTTCCTCGGCGCCGTGAAAGGTACCGCACCCCCCGTAAATACACCGGGAGAAACCTGTGGGCACCACGGAGGAGCCGGGAGGGGGTTGAGCATCGCTGTGTTTTCTTACCCAGGATAGTCAATAATAATAATTTAAAATAATAAAAAATAATTAATAATAAATAATATTTTTGAATCCCCCGGCCGGGCTGCAGTGATGCACGAGAGCTCCCGGAAAGTGGCCGAAACGCTGCAGGAGATTTACAGCACCGACTGGGACGGTCACGAGGAGCTGAGAGCCATCGCAGCTGTGAGCCCCTTGACGTGCTCCCACCGGCCCCAAGGGTCCCCTTCCAGCATCGGGGGGGGCAGCGAGCTGAGCCGAGGGGGTCCCTGGGGATGCAGCCCAGCACGTACAGCCGGAGGGGAGGCTTGAGGGGTTGGGGGGAATCTGGGCGTTATACCCCTGTCCCCCCTTTTTTCACCCCGCAGAGCAATGACCTCCTGTGGGACGACTACGAGGCGAAGTTGGCTGACCAAGCCCTGCGGTTGATGGAGAACTACCTGGCTCAGTTTGGTGACTTTAAGGTACCCCCCATGCGTGGCGTCAGTGCCGGGGGGGGAGATGGGGATGCAGGGCCAGATCCTGGCTCACATTCCCCCTCCCCGGCACAGGAGCGCATTGCCAAGAGGGGCCGTAAGCTGGTGGACTACGACAGCGCCCGGCATCACCTGGAAGCTCTGCAAAGCGCCAAGAAAAAGGACGAGGCGAAAATTGCCAAGGTCAAAGCTCCCGCAGGACCCCTGCCCGGCACAGCCCCCCCATGCCCCGGCAGTGCTGGCAAAGCCACGGCCCCCCCTTCCCTCTCCGCAGGCCGAGGAAGAGTTTAATAAAGCCCAAGCGGTGTTTGAAGATCTGAATAGGGACCTTCGGGAGGAGCTGCCGGTTCTGTATGGCAGGTACTGGGGGTGTCAGAGGGGCTGGGGGACATCACAGCCCTGGGGCAGACACGTGGCCCCGGGGTATGATCCTGCCCAGAAGCCAACAGCATCCACAGCCCCCCTCCATTTGCGAGGGGGGAGGCAAAGGCAGCCCCTCCTGACCCCCTGGGGGGTCTCCTCTAAAAAGGAGAATCTGAGCAAACCGTCCCTAAAAATCAGTCGCTGAGCGCCGGGACACGGCTGGGTGCTGGCACCAGCGGGTGGG